GACTCTGGTCTTGCGCTGCAAGAATAAAGCCTTCAGTTTCAGACTTTAATCCAGATGCTCGTAACCATCGATGAGTATTAACTTTATCAACATTGGGTTTATTTGCACGTTCTGGATATTGGCCATGCAGAGGTTTGTCTTGCCAGCGTTGTTTCATCTGTTCAAGGGCTTTATCCTTGGCTTTCTTTTTCATATATTTTTTGCTGCAATAGTTGGTTCTTGGCTTCTGTTTTGATTTACTACAGAATCTACTAAATGTAAATGTTGTTTGTATTTACTGCCTTCTTTTATTATTGAATATTTTTTCTTTCTGTTTTCATGTTGTTTCACTAATTTTATCATCCAGTCATTTGTTGTTTCCATGTAAGTTAGTAAGCCAATAGTTGTTGTCTTGTATGACAATTCTAGCTGAATAAGACCTCTTCCACCTTTCTTTACGGGGTATGTATAGACGGTCTACATCAGCCTTTGGATGATGCATCTTATACTTAGAAAGAAGCTTTCTTGTTTTAGAATCCATTTGTCTGATGTCATTTAGAGTCCAGTTCAAGATGTTGAAACTATATTGGACCACTGGGATGGCAAGGTTATTAATGGCCATAATTCTGTTCTAATTCAGTTTTTAATACCAGTCGTACCCCTTCTATAGTACTCTTTACGCATAATTATTTCTTTTCATTTTCTTATGGTGAATTCCTTCACTCTCATTTACACCTAGGTACTTATAAGCTTCTCCTTGTTCTAAATCTTTTATTGTTACAGCAGGGTCTAAACTAATAGAGGAAGTTTGTTGTAGCGATCCTCGTAAAACTGTAGCTTTAGCACATTTATCCAAATTGAATTTCATTCCAATGTCTTCACTGAAGCATTTTACAGTTTGCAGAAGACCTTCCAGCTCATTGTCATTCCTAGCATACAATTTTAAGTCATCCATGTAAAATAGATGGTTTATTTTCTTTTGAGCTATTTTGTAACCGCATTCTGTCTTGTTAAGTTGGCTGGTTAATGCTATAAGTGATATGCAAAATAATAAAGGAGACAAAGAGTCACCTTGAAATATTCCTCTATTGATGTTTATTTCGCCAGACTTATAGGTTCCATTTTTATGATTGAGGTAAAGTGTAGTTTTCCATATCGACATACATTGTTTGATGAAATTGATGATAACGGGTGATACCTTGTACATACTTAAAGACTTTAAGATCCAGGAATGTGGTACACTATCGAATGCTTTACGATAATCTATCCAGGCAATACTAAGATTTTTTTTTTTTTCCACGGAAGCAGTTTTCCAGGATCATCCTATTAATAAGTAATTGGTCTTTACATCCGTAGCAGCCTCGTTTGCACCCTTTTTGTTCAAGTGGTAGTATGTCATTTCTTTCCAAGAAGAAATATGTCTGTTTTGTTAAAATAGATGTTAACAGTTTGTATGTTGTTGGAAGACATGTAATTGGTCTATAGTTTTTCGGAATATTTGTGTCACTATTTTTGGGTAGAAGAAAGGTAACTCCTTTGGTCATCCATGCAGGAATTTTAGTTGGATCGGTAACCATTTCTTGAAGTTCTTTGGCGAGTTTTTTGTGTGCTGTATTTAAATAATATAGCCAGAAGTTAGGAATTTTATCTATTCCTGGAGATTTCCAGTTGTGTGCTTTTTTTTCAGTGCACATTTAACATCTTCTTCTGTGATTCCCGCCCATGTCTGTTCTGGTTTATTTTTCATTCGTTCTAACTCTTGCGCAATCCAATCTGCCTCTTCGTTGTGTTCTTTAGGGCAAGCCCATATTTTTCCCCAGAACTGTATAACTTCTTCCATTTTAGGGGGGACTGTCACTTCAATTCTTTGTTTACCTATTTCCCTGTAAAATTTCTTTGCATCGGTTTGAAAGATCTTGTTCTGTCTATAGAATCTTGATCTTTTCTCGTAGCGTCTTATTCTTTGAGCCTTCAGTTGTATTGTTTGCTTTTATTTTTTTCTTTAGTTGATAGGACTTCATTTTCATTCCTGATATTGTATTTTCTTTCGACTCTTCTGCCTTTTCTAGTTCTTACATTTACTCCTCTTGCTAGTTCATCGAGTACTGATAATTCACTTCTAAGGTGTTCAATTTCTTTTTCTATTTTTCTTTTCAAGGTGGATCTTCATGTCTGTGAGACTGCCTTTTTTTTACTTTTGATGTTCAGTTTATTTGTTGCTGCTATTGCTGATGCATATATTGCTTCATTGAGATTTATATGAGTGTCTTCTTCATCCAGAATCAATTTGAGTGCTGCATTATAGAGCTTAATAGTTTTTGAGGTTATGCTTTGTTGGTTGTAATTTTGGGAGTTGTTCTCGTTCCTCCATTGCAATATTCTGTATCTGACTTATATGGCTCCATGATTTCATCCTTGGCTTCTTGTATATTAATCTTGTTTTCTGTGAAATAATTCTGTTCGATGAATTTTGAACTCGTTTTATTACCGTCTTGTGACTGACTAAGATCATACCTTTCCAACATTTCTAAATTTTCAGCATTATCTTCACAGTGATTTGTGTGTATTTCGGTTTTTCATTATGACCTGAGGCTTGTGTGATGTTACAACTTTTTTTTTTTCCCGATTCCGGTTCCTTTTCATGTTTTGTTGGTTCATCTATTCTTGTTGCAATTCTTTTTATTTCATTAATTTCAGCCTCTGTCAATCGGTTATTTCGCATGATGTCCCTTCTTACATTGGCTAGTTTATTTTTGTCTATGTACTTTCTAATTGTTTGCCCAACCTTCTCTCGCCAAATGTCATATGTTTGGCGAGTGATGTTTTTCTGAGGTTTGAGTAACGCTTCATGGAATGCAGTCATAACAACTTTGTACTCCTCACGAGACCATTTTATTTTTTCTTTCCTTAAATTTACGGTTATGGATCTAGCTGGAGAATTTACAGGACCATCATTAGGATTATCCTGGTTGTGGGGACCTGAAGATTCATTCTTTGTGTAGGAGTTTGTTCCTATGGCAGATTTTTCGACCTCAGGTAGGTTCCTCCTGAAGGACGGGCTCCCTGTTTATCCACTGGAAGAGCCATACTGGACGTTTTGTTTCTATTTTTAATTTTCATATTAATCCCACGAGTGACGCACGGGTCCAAAAGTCCACCCAAAGTTGCCCGGCACGTTGAGTAACGGTCTTTTACAGACAGGGTTCCGAAGCCTGTAGGGGATCGTTCGCGACCTCATAACGCAGTAGCCATTCACTCCTCGGCACGATTAACACCTTGAGTTGCGGGTTGTTGTTCGGAGTTTTCCTTCTCCTAAATGGGTTGCCAAGCAACAATAGACAGAGACACGATTGGAAATCAAAGAGAATGACGCTGGTTAAAAAAAAAAAAAAAAAAAAAAAGTTTACATTCGTTTGTCTTTGCTGTGAAATTTAAAAATAATTTATTGGCCCATCTGTAAATTCCACGATATTCCTTCTTAGAAAGATTGCATTTTCTTTTCATAAATTCATAAAATGTAATATGTAAATGTAAATTCCGTTATTTTTTAAAGTCGTTGAATTATTATTATTATTATTATTATTATTATTATTATTATTATTATTATTCCTTTGATTTCTGGTGTGTACATTTCGTTCGGGTCCCTCCGACAGACCTAAGGTTAGAAATAGCATCATGACATATTCCACTGACAAACATGTATATATATGTTTGTCTTGAATATATGATGTTATATATATATATATATATATATATATATAGTTTACATTTTGCAGGGGATTTTTATTTTATGTCATAAAATGTAAACTATATATATATATATATATATATATATATTTATATATATATATATTGGTTAAATATTTTTTTTGATTTTGTCTTCAAGTATATTGTCATTTTACGTATATAATTATATTTTAAATTTCGCACACTCTCACAAGCAACTCATTATTTCACTTTCGATCTTATAATTTTATATATATTTAGGCAGCAATCCTTCCTTTATGCATGTTTCATTAAAAACGATAGACAAGGTACTACGGTTAAGCTTTTTATTTAATTTTTCTTGTGTTTTAATGGTTCTAATGGAGCCTTACGTCTTACGTTACTCCTATCTGATCACAGCTACATTAGAACTATGTTACATAGATAAAGCCCTTCATAAGGTGTGGGATTTACTCGTGAGAACAATTTTTTGTATTTCTTTAAGGAATGGGCTTCCAGATCAGACTCAACAAAGCACCACTCGCTCACATATTCCGTGGTGGAACTCTATAATTACAATACCTCATCTCAGAAATATCGACAGATCGTGAAGAAGGTTGGTGCGTACAGCGGCTGAAACGTTGCGAATAAGGCAGGAAAATGAGGATAACAATCCGAACAATGTAAATAATTACAATAACTCATCTCAGAAATAGAGATAGATACCAAAAAGAAAAGTTAATCATAAAAAAATTACCATAAAAATATTCATTAAAATACACAGTGATTTTACGTTACGGCGGGAAAAATGTTACTGAAGCCGAGGTGCCAAACCAGAGCCAGTAACACAGCAGAGTCTTCTACGGATTCCATCAAGAATGTCTACATGCATAGCAGATAACACCGGACCAGAACTGGTTGTAATATTTCAATGTCTGGACGAATGGTTGATTTATATATGTTTACGACAGATTCTGGAAAGAAAAATTGTCTAGTACAACACAATGAACCAACTATGCTAGTAGCGGACCTAGCAATTAATTCGATGTAATTTTTCCACTTCATGACAGGAGAAGACATTAGCCGCAGGAGTCGCAAGGAGTGACTCACTTGGCGGTTAGCAACAGAAGAAAAGTTTCATGTGCACCCGCTGTTTATTTATCGATGGCTGTCAGGTGTTTGAAAGGGACAGGAAATTCCATTCTGTCGGACAGAATATAATAGGAAGAACGAGACACACCTTATCAAATGTGTTGAAAAGCGGAAAATAAAAAGAAAGAAGCGAGAGATAGTGTCTAAATGAAAGTTAGAAAAAA